GGGTTAACAAGGGGGCGTGGCACACGGAAGGAGCAGACGATCGGGGCAGGACACATTGTTTGGATACATTTATTTTCTTACTTTACAAATTACTGTTTTGATAAATGTGCTTAGATGTGTTTAGTACAGAATATGCTCTTCTTGTTTTATCCGGTTCATTTTGTGTTTAGATGCTAAAAAAAAAACATATTTAGGTGTAATTTTTTGGGGCCAGGAACCAATTAATTGGTTTTCCATTATTTCTTATGGGGAAAATTTGATCACAATTCGAACTTTTTAGGATATGACCTGGAGTTCTGAACGGATTAAATTCGAGTTCTGAGGTACCACTGTACTATTATGTGCAATATATGGATATGGATACTCTTGGCTTGACTCATCCTTGCTTGCAGTATTTCATTTAAATCCCTTGAAATCCATTTTACTTAACTATATATATTTTTATACTGTTTATTGCATTTTTGTGGTCCCTGCCTATTATACCTTCTCCTGTCTTTTGAGCAGTTGTAACATTAGCAATTTCCTCCAGGATTAATAAAATCTTCTGATTCTGACTCACTTGCACATTTTGCGTCTGACGTCAACATATGTCAACAAATTGTTTAGTATCTTCATGCACTTGCACTTAAATAGGGTTAATGGGATGAACCCCATGGGCCTGTTTCACAAAGCAGGATTTCTTGCTTAGCCAGATAACTTGCCAGATTTAAGGTAGTCTGGGCTAAATAGACCTCATTTTCATCAACTTACATTTAGCCCAGACTACCTTAAATCTGGCAAGTTATCTGGCTAAACAAGAAATCCTGTTTTGTGAAACAGGCCCCATGTCTCTTTCATAGTCCTCAGTGTACACTCACGCTGTGGGAGGGGCTAACTCTAACCAATCACTGTGTAGGATGAGCCAGGCCTGATCCATCATCCTGTGAGAGGGAACAGTTTTATTCCATCACCCTTTATGAGGGGCTAGATCTGCTCTAGCAGATCCAGTACTACATTTAATGCCCATTTAACAGAGAGCTCGACTGTGCTCAAGACTTCAGTGATGAGGCTACCCCTTCCACACCCCTGTATGTGCCGGATTCCCCCTCTTTTGGCCAACTGGCTTCCAAAATGCATCATTCATTTTCCTCAAATGAAATGAAGTAACCAAAACACTACCAGTGAAAAGGGGAGCACTGAATTTCTACCATGGGGAAGACAGAATGTGCTGGCCCTTGTTGCCATCCACACAAGAAACACATCCTCCCATCCAGAAAACAGTATTCCGCAGTAGCATTCAAGTCCACAATCAGGGGGCACTGGGAAACAGCATCAGAGATCATATGACTCCCTCCCAGAATCAGAAAGCCATTTGACTCAGCGTCCCCCTCTTATGCACACAGATAGACACTCTTGGTTATAACCCAAGAGGGACTTGTTAAACCCTGCAAAGAACTACTTGCACACATTGTAAGTTCACTCCTTTCAAAGGGACTTTGAAATACGATTCCTGCGTCTGTGGCCTTTCAGTGACATCCATGGCTTTTATCCCACTGACAGCAGCTGTCAAATTAAGCATTGATTCATATGACGCTATTTTTCTTGTTTCTGAAACATAAAAACTATTGACAGTACATTTCTGCGATTTCTATCAAAGGGAGTCAAAGAGCTGTTAAAAGTAAGATGGATAGTAAATACACGTTATAATAAAATAAAAGAAGTAAAACAAAATGAAAGTGAGCCATTACAGGGTATATACAGAAATCCAGAGGTTAAATTGAACACTTTTTAATACCTTATAAATTTTTAATACTTTCTCAATATTTTTTTAAAACCCGCACGGCATTGAGTTGCAACCGTTTTTAAAGTTTCAAACTGATTTAAAGATTTATAATGTCACACAATTTTGGCCTTTACAACAGAATTTAAATAGGGAACATGGGTCAACAGAATAAATTTAGTGACTGTGATTTTGAAAACATCTTGCATTTAACTTCTTCAGTCACAAGTCCATATCTTTATCCACTAGGCTATTCATGGCAAGTGCCTTAATTGTTTGGCTTTTTCTTCAATGAGTTTGTCGATTTGCACCAGTTGACTAACTGCTCTCATCCATGCATTCCTGATTTATGAGTTGTGCATTGCATATGCGACCAGAGAGCGCTAACCCCCATCCAGGTGATATTTATGTTTTTTTTTTTGCAAACCGATCAGTAACCCTCTCGATATTTTCCTGCTACCGGCCTTAGCCAGTCCTTAAACGCCGGGTCCTCTAACCACTTGTGTGCAAATTTGCACTTACCCATGATGACTATGACTTAGCTTTTGTGAGTGTAAGCAGCCAACATGTACTTCAGTGTGCAAACTGTTTAAGACGTCGCTCGACCACCGAATATGACGTCAGCATCACAGAGATCATCTATGAATGAAGGAATGAGCCTAATCCACATTTAAAATAATTTGCGAGAAATTTAGCAGATAAACTTTAAAACACAAATGGACAATTTGTAGTTTAAAAAAAATCTAAAATTTAATACCTCGTAACTTTGCGTGTAATACCTTTTAATGGCTTTAATTTTTGCTTATGTGATTTACTACCTTTTAATACTTTTTAAAACCCCGCGGACACCCTGCATTAACACTGGTGAAAACCTATGAAAATCTATCCAATCCCAGAATTTAGGCAGTTTGTTCTACAAATTCTGAACTTCTTAGGTACCTCCAGACACAAATAGAGCCTAAAGCTCAGCTTGAGATTTCTAACAGTCACAGGAAGTGACATAGGCTTGCAGCAAGTGACATCAGCAAAAGGCTGCTTTGGAGAAAAAGCAGAGAGAGTGAAACTGTGTGCCAGGGTAGGAGGCATCCCTGCTGTAGAGGGCTGGGGAGACACCCTTACTGTGGCTGTGCAAGGCAGCCCGGCGCCACCATTCTCCGATTCTCTGGCGTGGGTGGAAGGCCCGTGAGCTCCACCATGTCCACCTGGATGTCATTTCTGTGTCCTGTTAGTGGCTGCAGCGCAGACAAGATCTTCTCCACTAGACTGTCACCGTGGTGACCAACAGCTCCTGTTAACCAGTGCGAAAAAAGAGAGATGCCTTGGTGTCACATCAGGGGATACAAGGGATGCAGTACGATTTAATTAAATTGCTTCACCACAAAAATGAGAAGAAACCAGGGGCAGGACCACAGGGGTACTGGTCCTAGCTGAATGCTGACTGGACCCTGGAGTGCCCCCTCCCCTGGTGTCACACACTGGTTCAAGTCACATCATTAGCCTCAGAGTATGAATTATGGCCCTCTTATGCCCCTCACCTTAAAAAAATCCTAGACTTAAGCCTAGATTAGCCCAACACCAGGCAAATGTGCACAAGAGAGGCAGATAAACTTCCTTGTGATTCTAATGCTGTAGGTTGTATAGAAGGTTATAATGCCATCTCACCTGCCAAATCCAGGTTCCTATCAATGAAAACAATGGATGCTTTGTTTGGGGCAATCTTTCGTCTGTTTTTGGCTTGGGGGTAGTTCGCCAGGTCCCCAGCAATAATACGGCTCAAGGGTCCCACAGCAAAGCATTCCTCCCGCGTGTTGGTGAACTCAAACATGGAGTTGAGCGCAGACACCAAGGATTTAATCTCAATCTGCAGGTCTGGGCTTAGAGAATGAACATCAATCTCAGAGAGGTGGCCAAACTTCTTCTTGTCAGGCCGCTTTCTGTTAATGGACTCCAAGTCCCCAGAATGCAGTGGGAAGAGGTCGCCAAAAGCCGGTGCAAGAAGTAACTGAGGGGACACAGGTGCGAAAGACAGGGGAATGTACATAACCTCTGCAGTAAAGTTCATGTCTCCCATCCACTCGCACAGTTTCTCTTCAAACTGCTCGAATACGGGACTACCCTCCAATTCAGTGGTGACATTATTGGCCAGGAGGTGTATGGAGTGAGCTACAGCAGTGAAGACGATGCAGTACTGAAAATGACTGAGCGAGATGATATCTTTAATGATGTCAGCCGTTCGTCCTTTCAGCAAAGTGCTCACAACAAACACTGCTTTCGGCTCGTTTTCACCGCCAGCTTCGAAGCTGGAGAATTGTTTCAAATTGCGAGCGCCGGCATCGAGAAAAACAGTCGCACCTCCGACCCAGTGAAGGCTCTCGGCGCACCAGTCATCAATGAAAACGACCGAATTCTTCACCTTCGACAGCACCTTATCCCACATCTGGCGAGGAAAACATGATAAACCCTCCGCTGTCAGCATTGTCCGCGATGAGTCAGTTTCAGAAATGATAAGAATACGATCACCTTAAAGAGTTTTTCAAGCGTCAGACGCCCCTAACTCAACAACAACATTAACACACATGTAGCGGCGTCTCCGGACAGTGACGTGGCATTTAGCGTCGCGCGATACGCGTCATGCGCACAATCCTCGCGCCATGTTCTACGGCTCGATGCCGCTAACATATACTTAAATGTAGTTACGTTTAGAATTGGATTGTAATCTATTGAAAACATTTTACTTTAAGTAAGAAACAGGTTGTGTAAAAGGTATGTGAATTTGATGCGTCGTTCGCCGACTTGTAACTTGGTATCTTTTTATTTCCTTTATTTTACCGTCAAAGTGTGTATCACTGTGCGCTAACCGTGTAAACAAAAGTATTAGCGTCTCTTAGTAACAGTTAGTAACATTAAAAGAGATTGGATTTTCATGGGTGGAGGTTTATCCATGTTTTAAGTTAAGAAAAGTATTCTGATAAGTCGTTAACTTCGTAACTCAGTTAAGCGTCTTAACATGATAACCGTTAGCCGTACATTGTAATATAGAATTTTACAGTGCTATGCTTTTGTTAAAAAAAAGTTTTTGGCGTAAAATAATATCTTTAAATGAATTCATATATATGGTTTTGGTGAAAAGTGTATCTAGGAAAGGGACTGGGAAACACTAGTTTAGCTGCCATTGTGAAGCGTACGGAAACTTCTTCCATGACCAATGATGGAGCGCTTCCGGTGCGCGGAACAGCGGGGTTTTTCACTGCCGGGTCGAGGGTCATCTAATGGTATCCCTACGGGAACGTGTTTAGTATCTTCATGGACACGCTGTACTTTAAACAACATCGAACCGAATTTATTTATTTCGTGGATTCTGTCATACGTTAAAACATCTTCACCTATCATTTTATACGGTAGGGTTGCCTGGGGGTAGTATAGTCTTTTTTTTATTATTATTCCACACGACAGTCTCCTGAATCTGGGTTTTTTTTGTTGAAGGGGCGTCTGTTTGGGACAGTATGTCAGCCGAAGAAGCAGATAAAACGACTACGGACGCCAGCGCAGGAGACGAAGAGGAGGAATGGCTCTATGGAGGTAAGTTGTGTAGTCCGACCTACTAACTAACTCCCGAGGCACAACATGACTGCAGTTACTTTCAAATGCATCTTTCGTTGCCAAATTTAGTTCCATGTTGCTGCTTACTGTCAGTTGTTTGACATTTGTTTCCTGTATCGTGTCGAATGAAAGGTTTTTCAATTGCGAATTTCTGCAGTTATGTGGCAATGTTTATCATGTGGACTACAACTTGGATAATAAGTTGTACCTGACGATGGCTTTCATTTAGTAATTTGGTTTCTTGCAGTATAAAAATAATCTAATCTCTACGGTGATCGAGAATAATTGTGGTTTTTTTTTTTGGTCAGACGAGAATGAGAACAAGCAGGAGGGAGAAGAGTCAGAGTCCTCTGTCACTGTCAGGTAACTATAAACTGAAGTTCCCCCATTTCCAGTCCTGTTGTCCTCTTAGAGCTGGTTAAACTCTCCAGGTTTTTTTGTTCATTGTGGCTGAAGGTGAAAGTGTAAGTTTTGCATTCATGCAGTGATTGCAGGTGTTGACCTATGACCACAGGTGGTGGGTTCCTGTTTCATGACAGTGATCTCACTCTGGTCAGTGAATCATTCTGCCATCCATATCCACCATCCATACTCGTATTCATGTGGCTGTTTGTTTTTTGTTATATTTATTGTTCCTCTTTGCATACTATTTACATTAAATATTTACTCTTTAGTACAATGCCATATATTCCCTCTATACTTCCTTTTGCACCATTGTTTTGTCTTGTCTTGTTTCATTTGCACTACTTCATCGTTGCTGCTGTGGGAATTTGCACACAAGTTATTCCCTCACTTGCTCTTACCAAGTGCTAACTAATGTGACAAAGTGATTTGATTGGATCTTTTCCTTCTGTCTCCCCCTGTGTAGTACCTATGGGTAAAGGTATAATGTTCTAACAAGTGTCTGCAGAGCTTCTAAATGATGTGACAGAATTAGATCTTTGAGAATCCTGTCAATAAGAAATATTAGTCTTTTTTTTTTTTGAAGGTTTGAGTCTGGTTTTAGATGGCTTTCTATCTAAAATAGCCAGGCAGCTCTTGGCTGAGGGCCAGGCCCCCTGCCTGGTGTTTATAGTTTGCCCGCTCCTTCGGTGCCCGTGCCCACTCACTCAGCAGTGTTGCTCTTCTCCTAAAAGCTCAGTATGGGCAGAGCAGCTCAGTGATGCCAGGTGCTCTGCGCCATTTACCAGTATCAGCAAACTGCCGCAGCAATGCGACACTGCCGCTTCTGTGTTGGGAGAACCCTGCAGGTGCAGCCCTGCAGTCATTATGCCCGTCCTTCACTGCGGCTGCTTTGGTCCAATAAATCCCTGCACCTCCACCCCAGCAGCATTTTGGCAGAGCCATGGCTCAGTCCAGCAAAGCGGCCTGTCATCACAGCTGTAATGGATGCTGTAAAACCCCTTTGCAGTTTGCCAGACTTGTCTTATTTTAAGTGACATGTCTGTTTAGTAACTTTGCTGGGCTGGGGGGGGTCACACTGCATGGAGGTGTTCTGGCTATCTTTAAACTGCTGTCAGAGAAGCTTAAACTCACTTTAATTAGGTTAATAATTGGCTTGTATTGTCTATCAAATTGAAAGCCCTCCCTGTCACTGCATCTGTCCTGGACCAGCGCCAAACATTTCTGCTTTATGTAGTTGATATAGTAAGCAGCCATGCTTTCTTCCAAGCTGAGTCTCCTCTCAGAATAGACTCTCTTTAGGACATGATTCGCCTGAGGCAGGACCACAAGGCAATCCTGAGTTTTGTTAGCCTGTTCATTTTTAATGGCAGCTCTTAAGAATTTTTCGTACTGAAAAATTAATAACGTGAAATGCTGACCTGCTCGTTTTGAGGGCCAGAAGACTGTGCGTGTAACCTAAGTATAGCCATATTGAATATATAGAAGAACCTGGAAATGGTTTGGACCATTGAATTCATTCCTTTTGATTTTGAAATCATTTCATGCTGCGGTGTCAGATTACTCAGAACATTTTCATTTTTTTCTGATGAATAAAATAATGCTTTGAAACATATTCTTTTTCAAGTGTATAACCGCATGATAAGTTAATATGGTTCCGGTTTCATTTGACAGAACATGAGTTCTCAAAATCAATCACCTTCTGTGTTCAGTACCAGCTGCCCTATCCCGCCACATGTTTGAGAACCCAATAATGGCTTACTGCTGAAACCGTCAGTTGTTCTTCTGTTGTCATTCTACAGGCAGATAATCAGTAGGGATGGTCTTTAACTGCGAACATCCTTTGCAGTCTGTGTCTAGTAATCACCATATGATTTTTTTTTTTTTTTTTTAAATATGTGATGCCCATATGCCAAGAAGAGAAGTGGTGATTTAGTTGGATTTTTGTGACAGCGCTCTTGTTCCTTTGATTTCAGTGCCTTGGCACCACCCCCACCTGAAGAGGAGGCTGCTGGGAATGGGGTGGCCAGTCAGGTAAAGTTCCTAATACTTTTAGAGGTTAATGTAAGTGGGGCTTATTGGCTCCTGACCCATGGATACCTTTGCTTAAGTATTGAGATATTTGCCTTGCCAGCCTGCTGTGGAGGAAGAGGAGAGCGACAGTGACAGTGATGATGATGACGATGACGACGTTAGAGTGACCATTGGTGATATTAAGACAGGGGCACCTCAGTATGGGTAAGTGTAACTGAATATACAATATAAACCCAGTCGACCCTTCTTCCAGTCTGTTGGTGATGTCATTTGTGGTGACATTTGACCTTGGATTTGTTTTATCCAGGGCATACGGAGCTACTCCAGTGAACCTCAATATTAAGACCACTGGCCGGCCCTATGTTCCAGGTATAGATGGCTCCTTTGTGTCTGGTCATGACTTCTGACCCGAGCTGGTGGGTTTCTGTGGTGGTGGGGGGTCTCGTGCTAACTTTGTCTCTCCTATATAGCTGGCCCTAAGCCCAAAGGAGTTGATTTGGAAGCCCCTGGTAGCATCAATGGAATCCCAGTGCTGGAGGTGGACATGGAGTCCTTTGAGGAGAAACCTTGGAGAAAGCCAGGCAAGACTTCTCTCTGTTGGAAAAAGTGTTCAGAGAATTCATTGTCTTTTCCAGTCCATGGTTTTTTGATATGGAGTTTTGGGCCACATGGTTCCGTAGAAGTTCTGCCTTGGTGTTGATCTTTCCCCTTCCGGCTCCCTCAGGCGCAGACCTGTCGGATTACTTCAATTATGGCTTCAATGAGGAGACGTGGAAGGCTTACTGTGAGAAGCAGAAGCGGCTGCGCATGGGTCTGGAGGTCATGACCCTAGCATCTACAACCAGCAAGATCATGGTAAGGGTGCTTCTGAGCTTCAGTTACATGTCATGGACAGTGTTTTGCCACATTGTCTGATCTAAGGCACTGTGGAAAATGTGAGAAGGGACCCCCTTCCCCCATTGGTGGCATTATGCAGAACTCGTCAGCAGTTCCTGATATCCCCCCCCCACCTTCTAAAGGTACAGCAAGGACGGACAGGCAACAGCGAGAGGGACACAAGCATGGCCACGCCTAAGCCCGATTTCACTTCCCCCAGCAACATGTACAAGTCGGGCGTGCCCAATGCTAGGTGAGTCTTGAGCCACTAGGGGCAGGACTTAAACCCAGGCTGCCCTGGGAGTATCCTTGCCTTCTGCTTGAGTGTCCTGTGTGACATATCCATTACTGCTCCCTTCGGTTTCCTGGTGCATCAGTTACCCATGGACTAGCCTCTGTGTGCCTTGTCAGCTACTTCTACTGTGTTTGCTTACATTGTGTTGCCCCCCCTCCCTTGAGAGTTCTAGAGATGTACTTAATTTATCGAATCCAGTGTTTACATGCTGTTTTGGACTCCCTGGTCATTCTGTCCCAACTATCAATCAGGACTGTAGATAATGGGCATACCGGCATATTTACACCCAGGGGAATCTGTCTAGAAGTTGACTTTCCAATACTGTATGCTCCACAATTTGATAAGCAGATTAGTTGTATGCAATGAGAGGTGTATTGTGACACCAAAAAGTTAGTAATCTGTATAAATTCAGTGTATCCTTATGCTTATTAACTTCGGTTAGCGGATCACGCTACGTGTGATTGTTTTGGTAAATCATTGACGTAATAAGCACTGAAGTCACAGTGAAGAAAGGGACAGCTCAGTAGTAACATCAGCATTCAAAAGAGGAGATATCGTGGATAAGGTGATGTCGGTGGTGTAGTGATACTTTTGCTGTTTGAAATCCGACACATTTAATGAGCACAAGAATACAAATTTATTTAGATTACAAATTTTTGGGTGTCACAATATGCCTTTCATTAATATACTAGAGTACTTCTAATCTGCTTATCAAATTGTGGGCATTAGATTTGGTGGTACACCCGTTATCTAAAGCCCTGATCCTGGGGTGTCCGAATGCAGATCTTACAGCAGTCGTGTAACAGGGTGTGATTTCTTTCTTTTCTTTCTTTTATTTCCCTTGTGCCTTCCTGTTACTTCCGTGTGTGTGTGTGTGTGTGTGTGTGTGTGTGCGCGCGTGTGCGTGCGTGCGCGCGAGAGAGAGAGAGAGAGAGAGCACCTCTCCTGTAAACCACCTTCCCGTACCCTTTGCAGACTGTCTTCTCTTAGGCTGAGCTTGACTCTCTTCCTTTTTGTAGATCCTCTTAGGCTGAGCTGTGACTGTCCTCCTTTGTAATCCCTCTTCCCCAGACTCTGACTCTCATCCCCTTTGCTCTTATGCTTGACTCTCCTTCCCTGCCCCCAGCTGTGACTCTCTTGGTTGTGTCAGCACCGTGTGAGGGGTGGTATGAAACCGCTGTTACTTTGTTCCTCCCCACCCTCCTGACTCCTCACATGTAGGATGTCCCCTCCACAGTGGCCCGGGGGGCCTCCACCGGACACCTCCTTTTATCCGTAAGTGTCCAAGGCTCCTGCATGGTGCGTGGTTCTGCTGTCGCATGGGTTTGCTCTGTGCTGTGCTTGTCTGTCGGTGAGCTCTGTAGACGGTTTAGTGCCATTGTGCTGTTTGTCCTGCTGTCATTTTTAGGCCTTTTTTCTTGTGAAGTTTCTCTGTCTTGAATCTTGCATCATAATAATGAAGTGTTTCCGAAATCGCATACTATCAGTACTGCAAGGAAAACCAGAATTTGAAATGATTAAAACTGCAAACACAACAAAACCTAAGAGATGCTTATTTGCACATTGTAAAAATAACACATTTTTTATACGTATATCTCTTACTGAGTATAGTTACGTATCTGTAGCGGTGACACCCCTATAGTCGTAATAATTTTTAGGGCCCTAAAAATCAGTCTGAATTTCCTGGCAAAAGCACCTTAAATGCCACGGGGAGACAAACTTGCAGAGGCTTCTGTTTCTGCTTTGCTCTGGTCATACATGCACTTGGATAATCATCTTAAATGAGTTAGGATGTTGGATGTGTTTCCAGCAACATATCCAAGTTTGACATCACAGATCCGACAGACAGTCTTGGTCTAATCAACTGCTCTCTCTCCATTGTTGGTGTAATTTATTGGGGAACCAAAATGTTCCCAAACCACTGATTATGACTAACTGTAACGACCGTTTGCCACAGCCAACTCCCAGTCACAATTAGGATAACGGTTTCTGTGTTGAATATCTACTTCAGATTTTATGTTTGATATTAATAAATGCATTAATTCGTTTTGTTGTGTATACCGAACTAAAATGTTCTATTGAATGGTACGTTAATGCTTACACAGTATGTACTATGTTTTGATAGAAACCAGCTTCTCGACTGTTCTTCTCAACTCTGACATATTGCGGTTGCCCTCTTACATATTACCTGACCCAGATTCTTAACTTGGACGTGGCCTGATCCCTGCAAAAGTTAAAAACAATCGAAAAAGACCAACAATCAAAAGCATGGCGTTCTAGCAAAGCATCTCAAGAGAGGAAACAGGACGTTAAACAATTTGGATGTTGATCGAATTAACATAAACATTGTTGGCTGACAATACTTGATTGCTTAATTTCAAATCCATTATACAGAGAGAAAATTACAGGAATTGCATCAATGTCCAAATACTTTCACAATACATTCACAAGTTTACTGTGTCGTGCATTGTGCCTGTGAGGGGAAAAATGGCTAAACCTATGCGATTTCGGATGCACCCATAGCCGTATGAGCAGCCTGTAGAGGACTGCCCACAGCTGCTGTATTTCTGTCCTCCTCCTGGCCACGGCAGCACTGGCCGTTAGCTTCGGATCCCGTGTGTGTGGCCCCATTCTGTCGCGGGGTGTTCGTGTAAGACCGGCGCCGTACCTGTGGCCCGTCTGCTGACCCCAGGCCATGGCCGTCGTCATGGGAACACGTGGGCCGTCGTGTCACGACTCACTTGCACACCTAATGGTTTACTGGAAGATCTGTTTCCAGGCATGGTTGTGTTTGTAAATATTTAGCAGAAGCGCATATATATTTTCGTTCTTTTTAATTGCCTTCTAGCCAAACAGGAAGCATGAGCAGCTTGTGTATGAAGAAGGCCAACTCACTCCCCCTTCCCCAAAAGTCAGGTGCCGTGTAAAATGCTAAGACTGAGCTGTCTTCCACTAGTTAAGGATGTGGGCCAGATCCCAGTGGAAAAGATGTAAAAGTTAATAAGCATGTGTCAAATGGTATATGCTAGCTATGCCCCGCCCCCAGCTTGCGTTTGGCAAGTTTATCTGCTCTTAGGCTGAAGCAGCACCCTGTAAACAGAGTCATCTTTGGACCTATGACCCCTAACAGGCTCCTAGGGTCTAGCTGCCCCACGCTTCTGCCCTTTGAACCCCTGAACAACCCTCTGTCCACCCAGGTAACAGGGATTAAACCTGGGTGATGGAAGTGGGTCAGTGTCCTGCTGGTGGTGGTTATTGCCATCTATGCTGGGCTACCCAGATGTGGGGCGCACTGCATTAACAGGGGGGTGGGGGCTGAAGGTGAGGGTGAGCTGCAGGGTATACAGACCCCCAACACCTCTCTGGGTCACTGATGCAGCTCTACTTCTTCAAACTTTTAGTAATGGCTCCTGTAGCTCATCAAGAAGAGCATTATGCTAACAATTCAACGGTTGTGGGTTCAAATCCTAGGGAGCGCTGCATCGGGAATGATTTTTGTTGTGCTCTAGGGGAGGCAGACTATGCAGAATGGCAGTAACGCAGGCACAAAATCGCACACCGTGCTGCAGTTGGGATGCAGCTTCTCGCTAAATGTGTCTTGTTTTGTCAGTAACCCATCACTCTGTTTGCTTGAATTCCATTTCCCTCAGTTTTCTTGTCAGTGGTTACTCAGTTAAGGTGTGCTAAAGTTTTACAGTTTGTTTTTGTGGACGTTTGTGTGTCAGTGTAATACACAGGTAGCTCCCTCTCCGTGGCCGTGGCGAGCATGTGTGTGATCCCTGATGCCAGGAAGAATGGATCTGAGAAAGATCATAAACAAATCTGAAAACAAGCACCTCCATCTTGATAGATTTCTTCAGTGAAATCTCAGGTTCTTTTAGTCGAATGATGAGGCAGGTTTCTTAAGCTTAAGCAGTTTATTAAGACAGAATGAAGATGTTACAGAAAAATGTTTCACACGGTTCAGTGTCTGTCTGTGTCTGTCTGTGCCCCCACTGAGGGAAACAGGCCCTTTATCTATGGTCTTCAAACAGACTCCCGGAGCCAGAGGGTCAGACGGCCTTGGTGAGAGTAAATTGTATGAGAGGCAAAGAACTTGATGAGCGAGTAGCAAGGACAGAAAGAAATATAAAAATAAGAAATATGAAAGATGTAAATGAATGAAGTAAATGGACATAATTATAATCAATGAATGAAGTAAATTGACATAATTATAATCAAATACCTACAAATTAACTATGGAAATCCCTCAATCTAACTCAGTCGAAGTGGATGGAGCAGAGTTGGTGGTGCTTCGAGTGTGCTGTCCAGTTAATGGTGTTGGGTGGGGGGGGTGGTCTTGAGGGAAAAAAGTGTGTCAAAATGATGGACTTGCCGTTCGACGTGTGTCTACAGGAAGAGCTCAGGCACTATTGATGTGATAGGAGGGCAGACAGCCACCATCAGTCGTGTTGAGGGGCGAAGACGACATAATGTGGACGGCAACAACATCCAGGTGTGTGTGGGATAAAATCTGGCTGGATCAGCTGACTGCATGTGTGTCGTTGAAGGCTTACTCGTGCTGATGTGTGTGCCTCACAGGTGATATCAGAACACTCGTCGTCCGACGCTGACTCCACCCCTGCCAAGATGCCGCCGTTCTTTCCTCCGGGACCACCACCCAACATCCCCCCTCCCCCCTTCATGCCACCACCACCTAACGTTAGCACCGCCCCCCCACTAATCCCCCCACCAAGTAAGTAACTGAATTGGGTGCCATTCTGCGGAGTGTGTGCGTCTCTCTGAACCTCTGACAGTCATACACTATATGGCCAAAAGAATGTTGTCACCAGCTTGTCCAGCATCTCATTCCGAATCCAAGGGTATTAAGATGAAATTGGTCACGCTTTCTTCCTGTAAATTGCCTCTGCTCTTCTAGGAAGACTTTCCATTATGTCTTGGAACATTGCTGGTGGGATTTGCTGCCATTCAGGTTGGGTGTTGATATTGGGTGACCGAGCACTTCACAGCTGAACTAGCTCCCAGACATGTTGACCTTCTAAGTCACTTCATTTGTTGTTGACCATGACAGCTCTTGAGGATAGAAATGTGATGAACTGACTTGCTGGAAAGATGGCGTCCAGTGATAGTGCCGGGTGGAAGGTCACTAATCTCATCTGTATATCCATCCATTCTGCTGCTAATGTTTGTTGCAGCAAATTGCATGACTGTGTGCTTAATTATACACCTGTGCCAGCAATGGGTTTGGTTTAATTAGGCAATTCCTTGAATTAGTAGGAGCGTCCACATACTTTTGGTCATATAGTGTATCTGTATTCACCCGCCATCCTGGTGTGACCGTGTCCCAAGCCCGTGTCCTCCAGGTGTTTGCGTAGCAGGTGGTGCCGCATAGATGGTGGGCCGGACTCGGGAGCGTGCCGTCTCCAGATGTGCTCCTTCAAAGGGCCTCCGAATAGCCGGCCTCCTCTGGTTGTGCTGAGCCGGCCCGGCTCGTGCCAGGGCTCCCGGTGCGGCCGCTTTGATCGGGGGCGCCGTGCGCTCTGCCAGCGGTGCTTTGAAGCTGCGCTCCTTTCACTTCCTTTTGTGCTGCAAATGTGGGAGGGGATAAAAATAGGGCCTTGGCAGCAGCTAGGGCTGCCATATGTTCACTGGCTTAGCACTACCCTGTTAACTGTTAGCTTGGTGCCGTCCTGTCAGTCCAGTATTTGCTAGTGTAGCGTGACCCTGTTCTTGCTTCACTGCAGTGTTTGCTGGAATACTGTTGTGTTATTGTATTACTCCTCCGCTTGTTAGCATAGCATTGTCCTGCTACCCTGCAGCTTGCTAGTGTGACTCCATCCTGTTACCCCACCACCTGCTAGCGTAGCTCAGCCTTGTTACCCTGCCACTTGCTAGCGTAGCTCTGTCCTGTGACCCCTCCACTTGCCAGCATGCTTTCATCTTGTTACCCCGGCGCTTGTTAGTGTAGCTTTATCCTGTTACCCCACCACCACTAGCGTAGCTCCATCCTGCAATCACCCTGTTTTTTAGCGTAGCTCCCTCCTTTTACCCTGCCACTTGCTGGCGTAACTCTATCCTGTTTTCCAGCCACTTTCTAATATAGGTTTATCCTGTTTACCCCATTGCCTGCTAACATAGCTCTGCCCTGTTATGTTCTGTTACTGTTTTGCCCAGTCATTGGCTAGCATGAAATCGTATAATTTTACCATTTTGGCGTGTTAGCATAGCCTGGTGATAGCATGAAGTCATTGTTTCTCCTCTGCTCTACATTGTTCTGTCAATGCTTGTAGCAGGCTTGCTTTCCAGGCATACCATCGTGTGCAGAGCAATTGCTTGTCGCGCTGCTTAATTGTTCATGCTCCGAACAGCTTGTTACTGTTGATGTTGCTGGGGTGGGGCTTTCCCAGATGGCGCTGATGAGCTGCTCCCAGACGTGTGTGTCGAGTTCCCCAGGTGCCCGTTGAGTGGCAGCTTCACCAGATGTTATAGAACACCCTCCTCCAGGCTGATCCCCTCAGGGCAGTCGTCGTCCTGAATCCCGTCTCCATGAATGTATAGCTCAGTTACCCCAGGACAGACATCTGGTATCTGTCCTCAAACAGGCAGATATTTTAGTCACCATATGGCTAGTAGATGTTTTTAATTTAACGAATTAATTTGCCCCCAGGGCAAAAGGGTTTCTGCCTGCCGGAGGGGTAAAAAGTTCATAGTAATAGTCGTGATACAATGGCACTCTGGTGTTTACTCACACTAAGCCAGTGCTTCTCAAACCAGTCCTTGGAGACCCCCAAACAGTCCCTGTTTTTGGTCCAAGGGAGTGAAAATGTGAATTGTCTGGAAAGATGGAAAAACTGCACTAAATCTTGACTAACCTGATCTGTTTGCTGGGTTAGCTTTTTTCCATGGGTTATATAATTTCCGATTAATAAATTGCCTATCTTTCTGTGAGCCCTGCTAGCTGATTCTGCTAGGAAGGGTGGTGATCCCTGGTGCCAGGGCCCTTCTGGAACATGATATTGGCAGCTCGACCCTGACCCACGTTCTCATAGTTTGGCACCTGGTGCTTGCATATGCACTGTCATGCACTAAGACGTCCTGATACATGCACATGCTTCATATCGCAACCCGTGTGACCTGCTTCTGGGAGTGACTGATTAGCAGGAGGCCGATTAAGGGTTTGGGGGGGGGGTTTGACTTCCACATTCAGTAGTCTGTGGTCCACCCAGCCCCCCCATCCTTGACTGGATATGTGGATAAGAGATTTCTCTTGATGTCTCTCTTTGTGTCCTACAGGAATACCCATCACTGTTCCACCTCCTGGTAAGTTATCTAAAGCCGTACTTCTCTGGCTGTTTCTTAATTTAAAAACATAAAACTAGCTTAAAATGCAAGTGTATTGAGCTTAGTTCTCAAGCATTTTGCCTCACTGGTGAAGACCAAACTTGCAATCCCACCATAGCAGTCGTTTTCTGTATTACACTAAATGCTTCGGTGATACGGTGTTTGCTTTCCAAGTTTTCTCAAATATTCTATTACTACTGCAACCTTCACTTAGACCAACAGGTGGATACTAGTGACGGCTGTTCGCAAATGAGTCTGCTCTAACAGCCGGCTATTTTAAGCGAACGTCTGAATGATGAGAGCCAGAGCCATTTTCTAAAGCCAATCAAATTCCAGTAACCAAACTGTTTTAACTATATATTTATAACTCCTTGAGCATGAAAGTTGAAGCTTAAATGAGTTACAGCGTGTCCTGATCCCAAAGAGAAAAGATGGACATATAGACAACGAAATGTGACTTAAAACACAATAGATCAGGAAATGACTTATGATTGCCAGTGATATGATTTCCAAACCTTTTCAATTGTGGAGGATAAGAGATTGAAAAGGTACAGCCATGCTCTTAATTCAGTGTACTGTATGTTATTCTAAGCAGGGAAGCACTCTTAAATCATCATTCCATGATGGTCTGATGAAGCATGTATAGGCTTCACTGAGAGACAGGGTTCAGAAAGCTTCAGTGGTTTACCTGACAGCATACTGAAGCACAGGCACGGCTCACCATGCAGCTGCTACGAGGCAGGTTGGCGTGTTACAGAGGGTGATTAGGAGCCAGAGGATGCATGACATAAATTTTCTATATACATTCAAATTTTGTTATCAACCTGTTCATGCTATAGATGATCTCTAAAGTTTAATTAAGAACTAAAGGGTGTTTTTGGGATAATCATATACAGTGAGGAACAAAAGGTGCATTCTAGTAATGGAAACATTGCTAGACAATGCCAGTCTACTTAGTGATCAGTGGTCATTGTTGACACACCACAGCAGTCAACGAAACGTGTCCTTTGCATGTAACCCATATGTGACATAGCAGGGGGCAGCTAATTCAGCGCCCGGGGGCGGTACCTTGCTCAGGGTACCTCAGTGGTGCCTTGCTGGTCGGGGATTCAAACCAGCAATCTTTCAATTACAAGTGCGCTTCCCTAATCATTAAGCCACCACTGCCCACCACTTCTCAACAGAGATATAAATTTCACCTTTTTGCATCTATAGAAGCAAGTCCCGCTTTCAGCACGAGGATGACTTTGTGGCTAATGCATATTATTTGTGGCTATTGAAACTCCAGTACAGTTAGCATCAATGGCTAATACTTTTGAAAAGCTAGAGAGAATCCTGATAACACCCAAACTGTTTTTCTGTGGTAAGAAAATTTGCTATTTTGGGAAGAAAACAAGTGAAAACCATGGCAGGATGTTGTTATTGTGTAACAATTTTACTCTGGCTATCAGAGCAGTCAGTTGTAGTTAGTTACCTTTTATGGTGGGGAGATATCTTCAGGCAGCATCTGTAATGGCTCTGACTCTGTTACACGGTGTCTTTGCTGTTTCAGGCTTCCCTCCCCCTCCTGGCCCGCCCCCTCCCTCTCTCATCCCTACCCTGGACAGGTACGTAAACCGGACATTTCTTTTACCTTATTTCTTGTGAACAGAGCTGTTTATTTTCTCGTGCCATTTTGGCCTGTCCCTCATATGTTACCTCACTTAGCTGTCACCCCCTGAACATATCCAGATGTGTGTGTGTGTGTGTGTGAGAGAGATTGTGGCTCTTCTCCCACAAAGGAGGCATGGTCTCAGTCCCCATGGTGATGGAGGTAGATGGAGTCGGGGGGAGAAGTGGAAGGATAGGTCTCGGGGGTGCTGCAGGCAGGATTGCCCATAGGCAGGGGGGCAGGAACTAAGATGGGGGGCCTTATATGCATAGACTAGTGTGTAAAATAGTTTACCCAGATTGGACCACCAGATAATGGTCCAAGTTAAACATCGAAAAGGCTTAATGACTAAACAGAGGGCCATCAGGTGAAAGCATGCGTGATGGCAGATTGCAGGCATTGTGTGTGGGTTGTGGTTTATGGTAAACAGCCTTTTCGCCCAGAATGCATTGCACGTTTTGTTTGTTACTCTAGGGAAATCGTGCAGCGTTGATCTAAAAGGCCATGTTAAGCTTTTTAAAAAGCCTTTTGAGGTGGAGGAGCCCCGATTCCATCCTGGACGAGTCCCCTGAGCATAACAGGCCGACAGTAACCAGACATCAGGCTCTTATCTGGCCGATAGGATAGGGGGAAGTGCGTGGCCTCTTCTCTTAACCACTGTCATATCTCCTGGCTCTCTGATGCGTGACTCTGCTATCCTGAGCCTAAGAAAGCGTACTACCCCTTCCCTGAGCCTGCAGCTGAGAAGGGGGGGGGGGTTATGGAGGCGGCCTGAGAAGGAAGAACGAGGGAAGGATTTGGGGTACGGCCCGCTCCAGGATTACACAGCATCCATAGGAGGCTCGTTAGCCTTTCCGGAATCCTGTGCCAGCATCCCTCCGCTGCAAGCCTGGGTCGTGGCAGTCTGAGAATTGAGGGGGAGTGTTTTGCAGTTTCATTCTCTCCCTCTCTTGTTTGAGGGAACCCCCCGCCCTCTTTGCTCCATCACTGTGGTGACCTTGCCTCAGCCGGAGTCATTAATTTCAGGCTTCCGGCTCGTTTGCCTCCTTAAATTCCCCCCGGGAACTGATATAACCGGGGACAATTGCGCGTAAGGTTAGCCGAAGGCTGGGGACACGGTGGCTTGTTTTTGGGGTGGGGGGCGGTTGTATGCCATAGCATATGCTCCGTATCCAGTGCTGACATTGGGTTCATTTCCCCCCCCCCACCCACCAAATGTATTTGCTTCCCATTCCAGTTTGTCCCAGCCCAGTAGACCTGCTGGTATTTGTCACACACGCTTAGCCATTCCTGGTGGCTGGTTAGTTTACCTCTGTCTGACCCCCCATCCAATCCACCGCAACTCAGACTTTAATATGGACTGTGCCGGTTTTGCTGCTCCTGCTCAAAGTCTCCAGTTCTGATTCTGGGATCTAAATATTGCATTTTTACTGCTGTACATTTTTTGCACTGTGGTTGCATTTGAATTCATTTCGAATTGCAACTGATGACTTTTTGCTCTGCATAAAATATATACTTTATTGCAGGCCAGCAGTCCAGATGTTTGTTCTTTATTTTGCTAAATGTCTTCATTTATAAAGTCGTAATTATTACTGCCTGTCCAGTCTTTAACAACTTGAAAGGTTTGTGAGCCTGGTAGTTTGATGAATCGCAGCCCAAAAGGAAAAGGAGCACATGTCACTTCCTGTGCGTGTGCCGTCTCTCCCTTTTAAGGCTTCACAGAGTACGTCGGCACATCCTGAAATAAATAAATGTACAAAAAGTTGGACGGGGCTGAAAGAAGCGGTGTCGTTTTTGAGGGTATTTATAGAGCGATGCGTTCGTCAGACACCTGTTGGAATCCGGCACTTTTGGACCAGGCCCCCATGAGCGGAAGTGTTCAATCGGAGGCAGGCCGAGGCCGGTTCCAGCGCCAGCCCCAGGGCCGGCTGGCTCTCCCCCTGTGCTGCGCTTGAGGTATTGCCAGCAGTTTCAAGTAGGGCCAGAAGAGCTCTCCCCAAATCCAGAAAAGCTCCGTTTGATCACTGCCCTGCCAGGCGGCTACCTCATCTCCCCATTCCCGCCTCCCCCTTCCTGAACACGCACGTCTTCATTCTGGTTTTGCTTTATTGCTCTTTGCTGATGTGAAAATCTGCCTAGCAGAGCCATACACTGCCTGCAGCCCACCTGCCGTAAAGCGGTCAGACGGGCGTGAAGTTTGACCACCATGATTGTTACTCTTGCCAAAGGTCAGCCTATCACAGGGACCGCTGTAGTGAAAGCGAGCCCTGAGGTCTATAAGAAAGTTGTTAATGTTCTGCCTCTTATGATGTCTAACCCTGTGCTTACCATCCCCTCCCTCACAGTGGGCATTCTGCTGGATATGACAACCGTCAAGTCCCGCCATACCCCTTTGCCACAGGTAGGTGGCGCTCACTTTTTACTTGTGGTTTCTGGATGAAGCGTTGAAGTTAGGAAGCTGAAAGTTAGGCATGTCCTAACCTAGGGTTCCCCATTTCTGATCCCGGAGGGCCAGAATGAGGTTTCCCTGCTCAAACACATCTTAATCAGCTAATTACCATATTTAGTGAAGCGCACATCATGTCCCAGGAGGACAACACTACTACTGTATGTATGCATGTAATTTCTAAGACTGCAGTACACAGGAATAAGGTGAAGCAGGAGACACTGGGAACGACCATAAACCAGCCAGGTAAAGGGGGGAAGCGTCTTGCAAATACCAGAGATGACCGATAACTTATCCGACAGTTTCTCATGAATCATAGGGTGACATCAAATGACCTTCAAAAGGACTGGGAAACATGAAGTGCACTGCTAGGGCAGGTCGTATCAGGCTCCTAGAAACAGGACTCAAAGTCCGAAAAAGCAAGGAAAAAGCCCATCATTAATGAGAAACGGAGAAGAACCAGGCTACAGTTTGCCAAAAGATATATTGACAGATGCATACCCATAACTTGAGTAACAACATTGTGCTGTGGTCTCTTAGTTTTTTTTACACGGCTGCATATAATATATATATTTTGTGTGTGTGTCTGTGTGTGTAAGAAGTATATCTGGCTGCGTGAACAGTAATAGCGTAATTGTGCCTGGCCCCCACCTCCCCCATGCACAGACGAGTTTCCTCCGTGGGGGGTTAGGGTTTAGCGTCAGGGCCACCTCTTCATCGGGCTTCTCCAAACAAACTGCCGTCTGCCCGGCGTTAATCAGTCATGCTGTGGGGATCGGCTGGCCCCCGTAATCGCCCACGTCCGGCTGTCTGAGCGTCGCCGATGGTGCCGCTGTCCGGGATCCGCTCTGGCAAATGGGCTGGAACCAGCATTCGGGTTTGGCTGGGGTAGCTCTACCTCTGTGTTTAAAAACCTGAGTTGTTTGCTGAGGCCATTACTAAAAGTGTGTGTGTGTGTGTGTGAGAGCTTTTAGTGACATTTTAACCTTAAATACAAATTTTGGTAAAACTTCATTACTGTTGCTTCTCTGTGTTTTACGTTGTTTTTCCAAGATATTCGAAGGCTGATGCTGAATCATGTTTGTTTTTGTCTTGAGTCGTGTTTTTCCTCCATTTTTATACCAGCTGTACAAACACTTTGAAGTAACCCCCCTCCCACCCCCATTTTTTTTTTACCACTACTATTCTGTCTGTGTTTTTCCACAGGAAATTGAGGAGGGGGGTAATTAAGTCAGCTAGGGGTTTGTTTTGCGTGTGTCGCAGTGATTTACACCCCCCCCCCCCCGTCACCACACAGGAGGCTTCCCCCCGGTGACAACCTGGCCCGGCCTGATGGACAACTCCAAGCAGTGGGACTACTACCAGCGACGGGACAAGGAGAGGGAGCGCGACAAGGAGCGGGAGCGGCAGCGGGAGAGACCGCATGAGCGTGAACGTGAGCGTGAAAGGGACCGGGACCGGGACAGGGAGCGTGAAAGGGAGCATAGCCCCTCCACGCCAGCCTACAATAGGTGAGTGATGCCCTGCTCGTGTTCATATACATAGCTACTATGACGGCATGCCTTGAGGTTGACCAATGAGAAAATGAGTTCTGTTGACTGTGACCAGTGAAAGCACCCGTGTGCTTAGTGACGAGGAGCGCTACCGGTACCGGGAATATGGAGAGCGTGGGTACGACCGGCATCGTGACCGGGCCAGCCGGGAGAAGGAGGAGAGGCACCGGGAGAGACGGCACCGGGACAAGGAGGAAGGCCGCCACAAGTCTTCACGCAGGCAAGCCCCTACCTGCCATACCCCCCAGACGTTTCCCCTGTTTTCGTCCTAACTCGATATGCCCTGCCCACTATCCCATGTTCCCCCCCCCGCAGCAGCAGCAGCAGGAGGCGGCACGACAGTGAAGAGGGAGACGCACATCGACGGCACAAACATAAGAAGTCCAAGAGAAGCAAGGAGGGAAAAGAAGCCAGTGAGGATCACACAGCTGAGCAGGAGAACCAGGAGGGCGGGGCCATGGAGTGAGCAGGGCTCCACCCCCTTTATCTGACCCCTCCCCTCACACCCAGTACTACTGCTATGGGTTGTGGCTGAAGCTGCACATCGGTGATTATATCTGGTCAGAGGGGTCCGCTGGGCCCAGATTCCCAAACTGTAAGAAAATATTCTTTTGTTTGTTGTGATTGACGAATCCTCTGAAAGGACTTTGTATGTTTGTTTTGTTGAATAAAAAAGGATATCTTTTGATAAATGATCTGTTTACTTTTTGTTCTGCTGTGTGTGGCACTTCGATCGGCCCGTGTAGATTTTTAACTCTGAATTGTTCTCTTCTGGAATGTTAATGTTATGGTGACCAAAATTACCAACAGGATATTTCAGTTTAATTTTGCAATAAACTGCTTTAAAATGAATTTCTTATCTGTGTTTGGTTCAGGAAGGTTTCCCAGTCGGTGGCGTGTGAGACTCGGGCCTCTGTTTGCCATCGTTTGATCAGTTCAAACCCCATCTACGCAAATCTCCTTTTAAACAGATTTATTGATTATTTTACCAAAGATACCATCAGATATATTACACTGGCTTGAGAATGTAAAATGACTGGAAGGAGACACTCCTTGACAGCTGGCACGTCCACGGGCAACACAAACAGCACTGGTGACCTCATTCCCTCCCCCTGCAGTATGAAAATTAGTAAGGCCTCCTTAGACATCACGTGGTCTGCAATGAGTCATAAATACAATTATGTCATTGTCTTGTTCTCGTGGTCGTCACGGCGATTCGAAGATGTAACCGCATCAGAAATGGACTTCAGCACGCATCTACTAGACGAAGCGTCGGACGTCTATGTCGTAATTCCAAGGCCATTGACAGATCTGTACGTTCAGACACGGACATGGGAAACTGACAAGTCCAGTCCACTGCATATTCTAAAATATGAGTAATGAATAATTAGCGTAGTTGGCAATGCGTGTCTTGTCCCTGTGATTAATCGCCCTCCCCCTCCCTCTGTCCTGAGAGGGTGGGGCCACTGAATCCAGTGCAGCTCCAGTTGGACAAAGTGAATCTTGTGGGTGGCGTGGCTCTTGTGAACTCCAAGCAAGATTATTGGCTGACTGTCAGGATGCCTGGCTCACTAGCTCTGCCCCCTGTCCTGCCTCTTCTTACAGGAGGCTTCCTGGCCAGGTCACGATAGTCAGTGTAATCCGGCCCCGGAGCTCCTTGAGAAGGCGCACCAGCGCCGCGTGGGTCATACCCCATGTGCTCTTCCCATTCACCTCCAGCAGGATGTCGCCACACCTGTGGGGGACACACAAGCAGTTGGTCACATGACACATGGCCACGCCCTCAATCATGTCACAGAGTACATGGCAAAAGTCATAACAAGGGTCAGCATATCCACAAATGACTCGCACTTCCTTGTACATGCAAACACACTTGTTAACCTTGATGTGAGATGCAGGGCATATACCGAAGCAGGGCCACATAGGGCAGTGGACCCAGCTGAAAGCTGATTGGCCCCCAGAATGCTCCCTCCCTTGTCATTCACCAATTTAAAACATATAATTGGTTAATGATAAGGTTGTCCCCACCAGGGTTGGGGCCATTCTGGAATGCATTGATCAATTCCAGTCCAAATCAGGAAATGGAACTGGAGCTGGGATTGGAAAAAAAAACTACGGGGAACAGAATTGTAGTTGAATTTGAATTTCAGGGAGATTTAAGTTCCAACTCCAGTTCCATTTCCTGATTTGGACTGGAATTTATCAATGCATTCCGGAATGGCCCCAACCCTGGTCCCCACTGTATGAATTAAGACCCCTTTTATGCGATCCACCTTAAAAAAATCCTAGAATCAGGTAGAATTTGGTAGCAAACAGCTAAGTGAATAGTCCGTACCGTATCCTGCCATCATTATAAGCAGGGGTCCCCTCCACGATGGACCTGATAAAGAATGACTGGTTGCAGTTGACCTCGTCATGACCTCCCACGATGCTAAAGCCCAGACTCCCAGAGGTGCTTCTGCGCAGGACAATGTCTTTGCAGCAGTACAGGTTCCTGGAGGTGACAGAAGGCACAGTCAAGCCCTTAGCCTGCAGGGTGAACACTATAGTCATCAGAAATGCTTAGATGTCCAGGGCTGATTAGCCATGAATGGTAGCCTGTCACTGATTGGGCTCTTAAAGAATGAGCTTGTGAAAATGCCTTGTTCTGCGAGGTTAATTGGTCACTAATGCCGGGATACTCATGGGGGATAAACTCATTGAGGAGTTTACTAGTGGAGGGATAATCCCTGGCATTCATCCCCAAGGCTAACCATGCTGGATTCACAGCTTAGTGTTGATGCTTTCGCACAAGAACCAATCAAACAGAGCTTATCCTAAAGCCAAGAACCCAACCGCTTTGCCCTCCAAGGCATCACGTTAGCCCTGATCATGAGTTCGTGGGGATGTTATGTTCTCTTACGTCGTCCCACAATCCTAGGATTGAGGCTAGAATGAATGGGTTGGGTGGAGCTTTTCTGTCACGTTTCGAGTACTGATTGGTTCCTTTCTACTGAGGGGTGGGGTCATAATTATGAGTCAAGACTTTTCCTATGGGCAAAAGATGAAGGTCTTGGCTGTGATTTCTGAGATTTATACACCCACATGACCAGAACCTTAATAGAAACGATCTCCTTGGAGATCCCAGATGTTACACCTTTCTTGTTAGATGCTCTACATCCTTTTTGCAAGCCCAGGCTGGTACACAGCGGCTTTAGGGGTTATGATATTTCTGGCCCATGAGCTTGAGCAGAACCAATTCAGACTGTGATTCCCCCGCTCAGGGGAGAACTGTGTGAACAAGCTGCAGGGTGACCTACAGAGGTGACAGGCTCAAATCTGGCTCGGAGGGTCTTGAGTTCTTCCTGGATGTTCTCCCCCAGGGGGGATACGTAGCCACATCAGAGGCCTGTTCCACAACCCCACCCTGGCATAATAAAGCAGCAAGCCCTGTCGGCAATCGCATGCCCGCTAATCCCACGAAGGGACCAAATCGCAGCACCCAGCAGGACCCATGAGGCGAACTGAGCCCAGATCCCCAGGGGATGAACCAAAAATTAGATCTGAGCTGAGGGGAGTCGGGCGAGCCAGCTGTCCTGGGGAATGAGGAGCGCAGGAGATGTGGCGGGAGGCTCAGGAGGAGGGAGAGAACAAGGGAGTAAATGGAGATGAACATATGAAGAAGGGTAAAAAGGAAAAGAAGGGGGTCAGGCAGGGGCCGTCTGCTCCATGTCGCCTCCTGCAGGATGTCTGAGGTAGGCAAGCTTGTCTCCTGGGACATGAAGCAATGGACTCACTACACCCTTCCTTGACCTCATCCTGGTAACACCACAGGGGCCAAGGCTCACCTAGGCAGCTGTAACCAGGAGACCCACAACGGGGAGTAGTCATCATTTGGGAGCGGGGGTGGCCCGGGGCTGCCCCCAAGGCCCGGGACGGGCACCTCCTTGGGGGGACGCATCTCCAGCACCCGCAGCACTACGGGGGATGAGGTGTTCTTCAGGTTAGCCACAGCCTCGGACCGTGTGACTCCTGTCAGGTCCATGCCGTTGACATTAAGCAGGATATCGCCTGCAGGGGGCGGCATTTAATTGTGAGTCATGTTGCAATTGCATAACACATCTTCACAGTCCAGTCTCACCCTAGTAAGAGATCTCATCAGCTCTTTACCTTTGCGGATCGACCCCTCCTGCCCCACTACACCGTCCTGATCCACGTTGGTGACGTAGATGGGCAGGTCCCACCCACGGCTCGACATGCCCCCTGCCACGGTCATGCCCAGAGAGTCATGTGGTTCCTTGGACAGGGTCACTGTCTTCTCATAGCATGCTGGCTTCTGACACTCCTGCAGGGCAGCGACACAGAGTTGTGCATCTGAGTGATGCAAGATGTGTGTGTGCGGTCACATATATATTACATTCTGGGGACCAAGTGTCCCCACAGTGTGATAAAAATCTGGTATTTTGATGCTGTGGGCATCATTCCTTTGCTCTTCAGAAGGGGAAACTCAATTTCACAAAAATCTCTGAATGCAATCAAAAACTGAGAATTACAAAAGAGTTTTATTTGGTCACTTCTGGTTAAGGTCAGGGCTGGGTGAGGGTTCAGGGTGTCATTGCTGGGATTATGGTTTTGGCCATAGAAGTGATTGGTCCCCACAAAGATATGAATACAAACGTGTGTGTATGGATGTGTGTGTGTGTGTCACTCCCTGGAGGGATGACACTTTGCACAGCTGGGAGGACTGGCCCAGTTTCACATGCCATTAATTCACCCTAAGCAGCTGGGTATGTGTGTACGTGTGTGAATGCTTCTGTTTCTCTGTGTGAACCTGATGCATCACAAACAGCTCTGAGATCCAGTCATTAAGTATCAGAAAATCTATCAGCAGTTTTAATTTATTAATGTTCTTAGTTATTCATGCCCTGTTTTCCTTGTTGGTTTGTTTTAAAAATGGTGGCTCTCCTGGCCGTCTAGCAGTGGCTGGGCTTTGGTCACATGACTGAAAGACCCCTGTGTGAATTCTGCCCTCTCTGGCCAGGGACGTAACCACAGTAGTACAACTGGAGGGGTCTGAGTACACATTTGCCTGCTTAAATTGAATAAATATGCTGGGAACATACAAAGTGGAAAGTCTGTAGGTTCTGGCTCGATTATGATCTGGTGCCAGACTGGTTCTGGGGAGGTCTGAGGCAGGGGGTCCAGCTTAGTGAGGAAGGGGGTGAGAGAATCTACAGAGAAAGACATTCATCGATCTGGGTTTGGGCTGTGCTCTTTAAAAAGAGTCGCTGCCTCTTTCACGGCAGGCATGCTGAGGCAGACGTGACCACCGGTGAGGTGGAGATCATCCAGGGTGAATGAACATGAGCAGGCAGGAGCAAGCAGAGACATGCACACGTGGAAAGACAAACAGACACAATCCAGATAAAGACCAGGCGAAAGGAAGGATCAACTCTCACCTTACAGGTAAGACAAAAGCGACATGACTACCATGTGAGTCAACATCTAAATAAACAACCAGCCCTGTTCAGCTCAAAGCAGGGCTTTCCGTCATCAGACGAGGACCTTCACTTTTTACTTAACCGAACGATAAGGGATCAGCATCTCGAAATGTGGAGGAGCAAGTAGCAGAGAATGGAAACGTCTCTAAAGTGGTGAGGAGCAGAACGGCACGGTGGCAGGAGCGAGAGTGGCATGAGAAAGCAATCTGGGGACTTTTTAAAGATAAAAGGAGATAATGTGGGCTGGGGACACTAAACGGGGACACCAAGCGGCACCTGGTTTTCTGATAGGGCCCTTCTGCTGAGCTTACAATCAGCCGTTATTATTAGGGCAGCACAGTGGTACCTCACTGCCCCAGCACTGCGGCCTTCAATCCTGCTCCCGGCTGTGTGTGTCTGCAGTTTCCATGGTGATTTAAGGTTAGGTGAGTCTGTGTGTACATCAAGGGTGTCCTGTGCCCTGTGCTTTCTGGGATGGGCTCCAGGCTCACTGTACTAGATAAGCAGTTATGGAAGATGGAGTCTATCTATTTTTAATTATTATTACAGTTTTATCAAGGGTGCCTGCATTTAAAGTTTACCATGTTTGTATATATTTATTATTATATATACTATACAGGGAGCAGTGTGGGGCTCAGTGGGTTAGAACACTGTGCTTGTGATCAGAAGGTCGCAGGTTCAAAACCCTGGAGTGGAAAAGCGATGCCATCATTGGGCCATTTAGCGAGGCCCTTAACCCCCCGATTACTCCATGGATTGACTGACCCTAATTTCTCAAAAATGTGTATGTCACTTTGGATAAAAATCTCTACTAATGTAGTATGTGTGTAAAAGAAATGTGTTCAATTTTTGTGTGCGTCTGCATAAATCTCACCAAAAGGACAGGTTCTCCATCCACAGGCGAGTAGGGTGGGGGTCCATCCATGCTCCACGGGGCCTCCTGCAGGATATCTGGGGTCGGCAAACTCGTCTGCCGGGACACGATGAAGTGGACTTGCTCCTCGCTCGCCTGGGTCAACAGTAAAGAACCAGACTCGACCACAAGCTACCTCTATCAAAACAAACACCCCACAACTATAACCCAAAGTTAGAACCAACTACATACACAACAGATACTCCTGATAATGATAAAATTTTTAATAAAATTCCCTTGGACTTGATTCAGATGAAAGTCTAAACTCTAACTAATGCTACATCAGGGTTACAAACAGCTGTGAACCATAATGGACCAGTAAACTCACTTTGTATTTGTGTGGTCCTCGATCCAGGCCAGATGTCTGCATGTTACAACTTGGCTACGAGTCACTAATCCAGTGAATTGTTTGGCTCACAGGTAAATCAGTATTGGAAACATCCTAGTCATCACAAACACTACCAATGTGCTGTGACTGTGACCACGTGTCATTTGTCACTGTATCAATGTCACTAAGGAGCTCAGCTGCAAACTGAAAATACTTTTGTTACTTCAAGGAAACAATTTTATCTATTTATATGTAACGATTGTATGCATGTGTGATATAGAGATACATAGCACAGTATGTCTGTGTGATGTAGAGTCAAAAAATACTGCATACCTCTGAGATGTAGAGTTCCAGAGCATTGCGTACCTGTGAGATGTAGTCACAGAGCACTGCATGTCTGTGTGATGTACGGTCAAAGAATATTGTATACCTGTGAGATGCATAGTCACAGGACGAGGTATGTTTTTGTGATGTAAAGTGAAAGAGTACTGTATACTTGTGAGATGTAGGGTCACAGAGTGCTGCATGTCTGTGTGATGTAGTTGCAGGGTGCGGTCTGGATTGGGGGCCCAATATGATATACTTGCATGTGGCCCAAAATCTCTAGCAGCACTCCTACACACATTGGTGTATCCATAACCCACAGGAGCATCCTCTCAAGCTAATTACCCTGACCAGCTAAACTTCCTTTGACAGTGGCCTAAACCTGCTATACTCTACCTCTAAACCCAACCCTTGAACATCAATGACCAAATTAAACCATCCCTCAAACACATCGACAACCTAGTTAAACCCCAACATACATCAAGCCCGCTCCATAACGCCACAAGGCTGATCATGACTGTAGGTAAATCCTGTAGGTGGCCTCCCAGAGCACCATCTTAGCAAGTTGCTGTAGCAAAGAAGCTAGCTTAGGATGCCACATATATTTTGACCAGTATTGGTCACTAGTACACTGCACCCGTAGTGACGGTGCTGTGATGTAGTCTCTCCCCCGCACTAACGCATACCTGTATGAGCATGGCGGCCTGCTCGGGGGCACCGTAGCGCAGGTCACGCCCATTGATGGCGAGGATACGGTCATGCTCGCGCAGCCGCCCGTCACGCGCTGCCAGTCCGCCCTCCAGCAAGTGCAGGATGTAGACACCATGCGCTTCCGGCCGACGCACCAGCTTGATGCCCAGTTGCTCACTGGGGCAGCTCTTGCACAGTGACACCTGCAGGCTGTCGCCGTGGCCCAGCGGGCTCTCGGGGGGCGGCGGGCTGTTGCGGTAGCGGTGGCGCTGCTCGCGCAGCACAGTGAGGCGCAGCAGTGGCCCTGGCTGACGCAGCATGGCCAGGGCGTAGCAATGTGGCACGTTGCTGATGTCGATGCCGTTCACCTGGGGGGCCGAGGCGACGGGCACAGGCAGTAAGTGTGTGGCAGCCAGGGGGCGCAACACCCGGTTTGCAGTGTGCGGCGCAGTGTGTGTTTGTGTGTGTCTCTGGGTGTGCGGATATCTTCAGGAGTGGGGGACATAAGAGGGGCCATAATTCATACAGTGGAGCCAACCTTATCATTAACTAATGACTTGTTTTGAATCGGTGATTGACAGGGAGGGGCCAATCAGCTTTCAGCTGGGGCCAGTGTTCCCAGTGGCCGAGCCCCGTGGGTAGCATGGTTTTTGTGTCTGTGCCTGATAGTTTGTTGGTATCATGCTGTGTGTGTGTGTGTGTGTGTGTGTATGTGTTAGTGTGTCCCCGCCAGTATCACGCTCACCGTGAGCCTCTTTTAAAAAAGCCCCATCATTTGATTCCTCCCTTCAAAGGTCTGACAGTTCAAAGAAGCTTCCCCTTTGCCGGGACCATTTTCTCAGCCAGATTAAGGCCGGCTGGCCCTTCTGTCTCCACAGAGATATGATACAAAAAAACCACACTTGGTCCCATCTAAAGTGATCTCAGAGAAGAGGTCCTCGCCAGGGAACAGAACATTCCGGGCGCCCGTCCAGAAGAGCCCGAATAAATTTTATTTATCCTTATATCCCAGCTCTATTTGCGAATGTTAGCACTGCCGCTCAGATATACTTGCACATAGGTTTAGCGAAGATGCACAGAATGTACGTTTATGGTTGTATGAGGAGTCGGGGAGGAGTGGGGGGGGGTAGTGGGGTTCACCACACCCCTGAAAAGGAGGCACAGAGAGGAAGGTTTAAATCACACATGCTATTTTACTGCGGTCTAGTGTTCCACACCTGTCCAAGTCCAAGTGGGCAATGCCGCAAGCACAGTTTCACACACAGTTTCAGACACACACACATAAACACTCTCAGTCTCTCTCTCTTTCTCTCTCTCTCCTTCTCTGTCACACTGTCCCCACCTTGAGGATGGTGTCCCCTGGGAGCAGCCGGCCGTCCTTGGCAATGACGCCCTCCCGGTAGATGTCCTGGATGAGGATGCGAACCAGTGGAGTCTCGTTGCCCCCCACGATGCTGATGGCCAGCGGCTCTGAGGGATCCGGCCTGTTGATCTTGATGCTGGTGACCTCTCCGTCGGGGATCAGATGGTGAAGCTGGGGCAGCACTGGGGAGGGGAATCAAGAACAGAGGGATGACAGGAACACCGGCCTTTGCGTGGTTTTAACCGCTGCCTTTGAACTCCACTCGTCTCCCACCTGTTCAAATGAAAACCAGCCCTCCTTCCGTAATGGGAGATTAAAGGTGTCTCCCCGCAGACACAGTGAGTATGTATCACCAGAGCGTACAATATGAGGGCACAAAGGCCATCACACACACTCAAACACACACACACACTCACACTCACACACACTTCAGAATCTGGATCAGAATCAGGATAGAATTAGTATCAGAATCACTTATTTCTTGCCAAGTACTTTTACATGCAAGGAATTTACTTTGAGGTGTTCTGCAAAACAATCAACAACAATCAAGACAATATTTTAAATAACATACAAAAAAATAAAATGCTACCCTTAGTGGGATGCTTTAATTCAGCCTGTATGTGTCTAGATTTAAAAGTTTATTAACAGTTGTGAGACTGTTCCTTGTAGTGGGCGAATCAATCAGCAGCTACTAATTTCACGCTTGTCTGCTTTGAGCCTTACCTTCCTGGGGCATGCTGGCATTGCGTGTGTTGTCCCGCTCCTCTACACTCTCATTGGACACTGCCGTTCCACTCTTGGTCCGCCGGAGGACACTGAATGCACGGTTCAGCCGTCGGAACGAGCGGCTCCTGACAGAAGTGCGCTCGAAATTTCGAGCTGCAAGATGATGTAGAGAGATGCTCAGCTTCATCCAGAAATGTCTCCTCACACATTCCCTATAGCCAGTCACCTTTCTAAAACAACTGGCCTCAACATCAGCAAAGCCAATCACCTTCCTGCTCCAACCTGCCTCAGCATCACCACAGCCAATCATCTTCCTGCTATAGTCAACTACAGCATCACCACAGGCAATCACCTTCCTCCTCTGATCGGCCTCAGCATCACCACAGCCAATCACCTTCCTTCTCCGATTGTCCTCAGCATTACCAATCACCTTCCAGATCCTGTCCATCTTACTGTTCCTTTTCTAAACCTACTCTGTCCTCAGCACTGAGGATTAAATTGTGAGCTCACATTTCTTGGTGCTGCTGTGGGTGGCCAGGTTCGTGGTGCTCCCCAACTGGCTGTTATCCTCGATATTTGGGTCGAAGGCTGGGTTGACCAGGCCCGGGTCGTCAGAGAGCAGAGCCACGGCTGCAGAAGCAGAGGGGATGACCTCAGATGGCAGTGTAGCCACAGTGAGCTCGGATGTGCTGTCCGTGCAGTCACCTTCCTGTGAGCGCCGCTTCCGGTCTGTTGAGAGCCCATAGTGCGATGCTCCCTTACATCTGTGAAAAACATAACATAACAGGTCAGTCATGATGGTTTCCCTCTGTCATTTACTACTGACCACCCCCACAGCCTTGCCAACTCTGAATTATCACTGATCACTCCTATGACCATGCCCAATCAGGCGTCCACTGGCTCCTCCCATGACCATGCCCAATCAGGCGTCCACTGGCTCCTCCCATGACCATGTCCACTCAGGCGTCCATTGGCTCCTCCCATGACCATGCCCACTCAGGCGTCCACTGGCTCCTCCCATGACCATGTACACTCAGGCGTCCATTGGCTCCTCCCATGACCATGCCCACCCCAATGACCACACCCATTACATTCCAATTTACACTTGGTCTCTCCCTTAAACATACGCACCTTGATTGGCATTCCTCATCACCAAGCACCTCTTTTCAGGGTCCATAGGCTAACCATGCATCCTTACCTATTGTATACCATAGTTCAAAAGCCCCGTGTGCTACATACTTGTGTATGCCATGTAAGCCCAAGCCACTTCTGCAGAGACTCCCACACAGTGTTCAAAGGCCCCCCCCATACCCTATGCCTCTGAGTGGCAGGATGTATGTGCATATGCTACTTTGTAGGGTCCACACTCACAGGTCATAAGAATTACAAAGCGAAAAGAAAGACCACAGAAGCATTTGCCATTTCCCAAAAAACAACCAGTCAAGTCATGCAAACAAACTCCTGTGGTGGCATCTCCATGGAAACAGGATTACTGATAATCTCTGTGATTGGTCCAGTAAAATTCTGGCCCCGCCACGGGAAAAAGTCCCAGTCGCCTGTGGATATCTGGGGTGGGATCAGTGGCCTGCTCTGAGGGGGGGCGAATCTAGGATTTTTTTAAGTTGGAGGGCATAAGAGTCCATAATTCATACAAAGGGGGCAACCTTATCATTAGCCAGTGATATGCTTTGAATTGGTGAGTGACAGGGGAGGAGTGCAATCAGCTTGTGTCAGTGCCCTTGTGATCCACCCTTATATATGCCCACTGTCTCTGAGAGCCTTTCGCTGACCTTTTGTGGCACGTGGGTCTCAGATGGCAGTCACAGGGCCCTTTGCCGGTGGCTCTGTTTCCAAGCAACCAGACCACACAGCCACAGAGAACTTTGCATAGTCAGGCGTGCGCATTAAGTGGCTGCCCGGGGAACCAGGGTGGGTGGTGGGAAGCAACCTTGTACAGCCCGGGTGGGCGGCTGCATTTGAAAACATTGAAAGCCGACAGACTCTGCGGCTCGTGTTTATCAACAACCGCAGCAAGTGTGATTGCAGCTTTTTCCAAAAGTAATACCATTATTCTGAAATAGTCTCCAATCCTGATGGCGAAGAGACTCACATGGCACAGATCTGTGTGCAGAAAGAGGTCTCCATATCCAGAAATGGTGTCTTTTTCAGGATTCATGGGGGTCATGATGTGCAACAAACTCACACCCCAGCCAGAAACAACAGGTGAAAAAAAAACGACAGGTGGAGCAGTTTGACTTGACGTTGGGGCTTTTGTTTGCTACTAGGGACTGAATACACAAACCTTCAGATTTATACGCCTTGCATGGAATGAGGAACAGGTGTAAATTAATACACAAATCTGCATTCACCTGCCTCTCTCTTCTGAATTTGTCACCACCCACCCCCGCATTTGTGTAGGAGCTCTAACCAAATAAACATGAAGAAGCTTCAGCTCAAGAAATATGAGCTTCTGTACCAACTCCATGACACGCACACGTATACGAAGCAGCAAGCAGAAACACGGGCAGACGCACACTCCATTAACTGCTGTAATAGAATCCTGCCGTGAAGAAATTCTAGGCCTTTACCGTGGTCATGGCTCAGCTGATGCAGTGTAAGTGAGGCCTGGAGTAACGTGGCCGTGTTCATGCTGAAAGATGCCGAATGAGCAGCATGATTAATGTACGATATGATCCATTTACACTTGTGTAGATGTGCTGGACTGTCAGGATGTGCCCTTTTTTATATAAATCTTTCTATATTTTTTTTAATTGCTAGAAGCTACCTCAAAACTAATAACATAGACCTAAGTTGCCTTAGAACACAGCTTAGCACTTAGCCTTGGGTGTAGCTTAGCGCTTAGCTTCGCATTTAGCTTAGCACTTAGCACTCTTCTCTGGGGCTGCCGTTATTAAACCAGGCTCAAAGGAGCAGCCGCTGCCTCCAATTCTGACTCAGGTCCGGATTGTGGTGAAAGACCACATGACTTCACAGCCTTTCGGTCATCCGTTCTGTTCCAGTAGCCCATGCAGCTGTTCCAGCTCATTTCAGTAGCGCATGCTAAATTAAATTAGCGTGCTCTGCCTCTCTGGCCTTTTCAATCACCACATGCTGCCATGCACCCCCAGTAGCCATTTATAAACTTCACTCAGCCCTCACAGGAAGCACAGAAGGCTTCGCTCTCCCACCAGCACTGTTTTCGACAGCCTTTTAATGTTGGAGATGTAAAGTTAATGGCTATCACCCTCATATTATGCCCTAAAGTTGAAAGCTGCAGCTTAGCTACTCAGCGATTTCCTAGACACTTAAGGTAATAAAAGGAGCACTACACTTTTGTCTGTCAACGAGGAAAGATGGCGATTGTGTGGTTTTCCCCCTGGGGTGTCACTATTACACACACTTAGGGTGTGAGTGAAAGCAATTGTTTTAGACAGGCTGTAGGCTATGGCTTAATAGTTGTGTGTAGATAGATTGTAGGTGTGTGTATATTCTATTCATAAGTGGTGGGTGTGTATATGTATATTCAAACACTGTAGGTTTGTCTGTGCTCTGCTTATATACATTAGACATTGTGCTCTGCTTATATACATTAGAGTTGCCACCCATCCTCAGCAAATTTGTTCATCTGGGACCCGGGGGGAGGCGGGTAGATGTACGTCTGTCTTCATAGACTGTAGGTGTATATGCTATGTATGTTCTACTTGTTGACTGTAGTTTTGTGTGTTAGATACGAAGGCTCTGCTGTATGTGAAGGTTCTACTTCTGGACAAAATGCATATACATTATAATGACTAATATTGTTGGGGCATATTTTTCCATATCATTACGTTTTAGCTTCCAGATGATTCACGAAGAACAGTCTCTGTCATCTGGGGTGTCATTACAGATGGACAGGTTTCAGTTAACGCCTATCACCATGCGTCATCCAAACAATCAGATCTGAGGGGAAGATTAAAAACAACACCCCCCACCCCCCCGTTTGTCAAAACATCTTCACAAGAGGTGTCTCAACATCCTTCCTCAACTGTCCGCCTCTTGCCTGAGCAAAACAGTAATTACCCAGGATTCAGTGGTGGCTCGGGAAACTGTGAGGACTCGAGTGGCGACAGTCAGGAGAAACTCCCAAGAGCACGGAACTCATTAAACGACTCAAGGTCCTCCAGTCCTCTCTCCTGTGAGCAGATTATCTGCTCTCGCCCAAACACTGTCCTTGCTGTTAGAAGAACTGAAGATTTGTGTTCACCCAGGAAAGACAGCTGGCTCAGCTGACGACAAAAACAAGGATATGTTCAGGCTGGGAGACTTTGGGGGCTGATATTGCCCCAAGTGCTATGGGCATGTCCTCTGTGAGACGTTTGAAGGTCATGGCTCCATCCCAAGATTGAAGCTTTTTCATGTACTGTAGTTATGCTGTAACCACACTCTCTAGGTGAAGCCTCTATGACAGGACCAGGGCTGCTGCTAGAGATTTTGGGCCCCATGAAAGCATATCAAACTGGGCCCTCGACTCAGACCAATACAATTATGTTACTTTTTTTTTTTTTTACATTTACACTGTCCCTGATTGGAACCATGCCTTCCAGAGCACTAAGTAGATATATCCTTTTTCCTTTTCCTCCAAAGAGTTCTTCTTTCTCCTTTAGAAGGTTCTGGACCATGAGCTTCACCCCATTTCCTTCTCTTTGTCCAAGGAAAAGTAATTGTTCTTATCTCTGTAGTCTATCAAACCCCAACAAGCTTTATAACTAGAGCTCAGGCATCATTGTTGGTGTGCTTAACTGATTAGTATTATTGCAAAATAAACCAAAGATTTGGGTCAATTATGAATATACAGCAAAGGGATAAATCCAACTTATTACTGAAAAAAATCCTTCCCTCTACTCAATAAGATTCTTTTTATGTTTCTCCAGAAGGATTTTTTTCCTCAAAGATTAAAGTGAGACAGTGGGGTATTAAAAGGCAAGCAGAATAATCCCTTCTTGTTATGCTTCTCATGAGGAAAGCAGTGGTCTGACAGCTGATGAGAAACTGAATGAACCACCATTGCCCCTTGGTTTTGGAGAAATCCAACAGTCCTTTTAGCTCCTGCATGGAGTCAATGAATGAGTGAGAGAATGAGTGAGGGAATGAGTGAGAGAATGAGTGAGGAAATGACCCTATCTTTAGGCAATAGTTGTAGAGTGAATTTGTGGCTGTCTTCTCTGGACGGTCCTTTGGACATGTACTCAACTGGGGCATTTGTGAGTGGTCCCACAGGGGCATTTAGGTAGGATTTTTCAGAAAACATATGAATGTGGTTTCACCTGCAGCGTTTTTTATATGGCCTCAGATGGATCATGTGGGCAGGGTCTCACCAGAACATTTGCATGTGGCTTCAAATGGAAAATGTGGGTGTGGTCTTGTGAGAAGCATCTAGCGTGGTCTCACAGAGAACATGTGGGTGTGGTCTTGTGAGAAGCATCTAGCATGGTCTCACAGAGAACATGCGGGTGTGGTTTTATTTGAGCAAGTTAGATAATGGGTATGTAGGAACTTGGTCTCACTCGAATCGATTGGGTGTGGCCAGCTGGAAACAAATTACACATCCTAAGTACTTTCTACTTCTCCTCTTTTCTCAAATTTTTTGTTCAAGCTGGAGTGGCTTGGCTGCTCAAAACCTGTTTGTCCTCATGCGACCAGCCACAAGGGTCACTTGGTCAAGGTAATAAGAGAAGCTCAGAACACACCAGGATCCAGTCTCATAACACACAATGCAGCTGTTTGT